CTAAATAAATAAATAAATATCCTCTCTGTTCTTTTTTTTTAATCCAGAAATTGCTCTTCACCCCCCTGCAGGGAAGTTAAAGAAAAATGTTTCTCAGTGATGACTTTCATTCCTTTTTTTTTAACTACTCACATGGGAGGGGTGGATTTTGGCACAAAAATGGAGTGAGTGTGGAAGGTTTCAGGTAGCCATGGTCCCAATCCAGAATGCACATAATTACACAGGAATAAGCAAGGGGTAGAATTACTTCTTTTGGTGTAAGATTGGGACTGTGAAGCTCCCCTCATTTTCATGCTGAAATTCTCCCCTCCCATGCTTCTTTTCAAGTTTTCATTGGAAAAATGAAAAGTTTCTTCACTTTCTAAATATTCCCCCCCAGGAAGGAGAGGTAGAGAATGGAATTTTGGCCTGAAACCCTGGAACATCTAAAATCCCTCCTCTTACAATTTCATAGCCCTGATTCTGATACATTCACTGAACATATACACTGAAGTGAAATTCTGGCTTGAGCCTAAGAGAGGCGATCAAGGCAGGGGAGAGAGCTGTAACAGGATATCTAGGTGGAATGGCAGTTTGTGGGGTATTTTTTTCCTATTTTTCTGTGGCTAGCCATATTTTCTTTCTTTTGAAAAACTGTTAATCTTTGACTCAAATATTTGATTTAAAAAACAAAACCCAAAATATATGTCTCCCACAAATGGTCACATTAAAATAAGATGTGGCAAAAACTGCACAAGGGCTTTCTTTCTGGTGCAACATTTCCCTCTGGCATTGTGTGTTTTCCTCTTTTTTGGCAGAAAGTAAATGCGTGTACTACATGATTCTTCCCAGAATGAAGGAACTTTTCCAAAATCAGCGCCCATCCCTTGGCTGATTTCTCTCTGTGTGTATGTTGAGTGGTTTTTAAATTGCTTTGTGACTTGAGTATGTTTATTAAAAATGGTGCATTAAGATGAATTTACGAGCGTGTGTAGAAACAATTGGCTTTGTTTCTTGTTTACACAGTGTTGTGTTCTTTTTTTAAAAGAATCTGTTTGTGGCCCATTTGGTTTTTAAAAGGTTATTTTTCCACCCCTGTTACTTATGAGGAGTCATGCTTTGGTTTGGGGGTGCTTTCCGGTGGGTATGCGGGGCAGTGGATTCCTGGAAGTTCTAAGAACTGATGCCGCTTGTATTCCAAGGGCTGCTTTTCTTTGTGACTTTGCAGATGCCTTCTGCTGTGAATCAGGAATATGTGTAGCTATGTGGATTCCTCCCTCCCACTCATGTCCTTAAGGTCCCAGTTTATGTAGAGTAGGTGCAGCTCTGCAGCAGGGAAGGCCCCATCAGTCTCAGAGGGTCTGATGTCACGAGCAACAGCTCATGGAAGGGTTATGCTGGAATAAGTTTGTCCATCCTTGAACTGCTGAAAGGCTTCGTCTTGTTTTTGCTGTTAATAAAATTTCTTTGAGTTGCCTCTCAAGCAGAAGATGGAGGCGCATGGGGAGACCATATGAGAAGCAAGATTTTGGGTAGTGTAGAGCATCTGTATAGATGGTTTGCACTTGGCCTATAATAGCCTTCTTCTGGCTCTGAGGATATTATCCAAGGGCATCATCACTAACCGTGGCAACA